ACATCCGAATACATCCTTTTACTTATAGGGTTTCTTAAAATATTTATTTATTTAGGATTACCAATATTAGTTACAATAATATGTTGGGAAAGTCGTTCCATTGCAATTATATCATTAATTGCAGGTATGTTATAAAAATTGCACTAATAATTATTAGTAAATACCACATGTATAAAGGAAAACAAAAATAGGTAGGTACCTATACAAAAAAAAAAAACAAATTTAACAACACTTAAAGGTAAAATTAGAAAAAAAAGAAACACTAATAATAATAATGATATATATATATATATATATGAAAATGGAATAAAAAGCCCGTGTACGCTAATTCATCCGTGAGAATAAAGACGGGTCAATTATCGGCGGCTCATCATAACGAATTCACCAGAACTTAGGTAATCTAACTATACAATAGTGAGGGGAAACGGATTGTTAGCAATGAAGTTTGACAGCCCCATTGCTAGCAATATGCCCTATTAGGTCGACCTCCACGTGGTTTCCCCTGGAAACCATCGTGAACAATTCTTGTTCAATTCGTCACGATGGGCTAACTGACCTGCTTCATCTTTACCTTCACTGGTGCCCCGCCGATGTATAACAATAAAACCCTTCCGGGATTTATCATTCCATTATCACCTTTAAAAAAAAAACTATACAATGGGCTTCAGGAGAGACCACGCGAAGGTAAATAGATAGACATCTGATAAGGAATATTGTTAATAATAATGCCATGAGGTCCCATTACTGTTAATTCCTTTTCTCTGTATAATAGGTAAAGGGTGCGATCTGTATACTACATTTTTTTTATAACACAAAGGTGGCAAACAAGCGCACACGCACAGGCTGTCTGATAGTAAACGGTCACTGTAGTCTATGGACGCCTGCCTATCCTGAAGAAACTTTAATATACCCTTTTTGAAGAACCCCATACTGTATTCTCTAGGAAAAACCTCGACAGGGAGTTCATTGCACAGCCTGAACGTATACGTAGTATATGAGAAATAAGAAATTCATATTGTATTTCATGGTGCTACAGAACTCTCCAACGATGAAAATACCAACACATTGAAAACATAATATACATATAGGTATCTACTTATATTTGGTGCACAGAGTTCAGATTTCACAAAGTACACATAACGAAAGTAAAAGCTTACGCACACATGTAAAAGTCGCACATACACAAACCTGACCTTTCTCAACATAATGGACGTCGACGCCCGAATACTGGGGGTCAATGACACAGAATGCACCAGCCCGAGGCTGAATGTGCAATGCATCCGACAGGAGTTGTTTAAAAAAAATAATAAACGCGCCGAAAGATCACTTTCGCTGAATTTAAATGAGCGTGTTCGATATTCCAGTTTTAAAAATCGTATTGATTTCGGATTTGAATTGTTCATGTGAATAGAATTTGAATTTGTGAATGATATAAATTTTAATATTTGAAGGTCGGTATGTGCATGTAAATTAAATTACATAATACGTATTATATTGTCAGATTTTAATTAATAATTATACATTAATTTGATAAATTATGTAAGATTCAATAGATTAATATTTTGTTATCTAAACATGCAAGTAGGCAATAGGTATACTCGTATAATTCGACAAAATTAAATACAGACCTAATAATAGATAATTTTAAAATTGTGTTTCACAAAATAATACCGATTACAATGATGATGAAATTGATTATTTTAATTTAAAGAATTTTAATGTAGACTTGAAGATTTAAATATTTTGATGTAGACCGATTTTAATAAAAAATATGGGGCCAATCTGAATACCTTTTCAGAAAAAAATTTGCAAATCGGTTTATAGCTGAGCTATCAGGTAATAAACATAAAAAGAAATTTCCTTTTTTTTCTTATATCGTTTGAAAATGAATGTTGGTCCTAATCATTTTTCCCTTACCAGATAAAAAAAAAATAGTTCAAATATTATTATAAATTTCACAACACATAGTATGGCTCAGTTTAAATATTATAAAACAAAAATTGTACCTATCTAGCTAGGTACAATATTATCAATTTCTTGTTTTCGGCAGAAATACAAACGATAAACAACGATATCATTATATAAACATTCACTCTACGACGTAATTCTAAGTATTTGAGCTAATGAAATGTCCTTTAACAAATATATTTTATTCCACAAAAACAATCAGAATACAGCTGAATAATGAAAATTGTAATAATTTTTTTATACCCCACAGGTGACAAACAAGCATACAGTGGGAGACTTTGTACAAAAGTCGATTACTTGGGTACCTCTGTCCCATTCGTGTTTCTACTGTGAAGCAGTTGTGATGCATGGCTGTGTTTCGGTTTGAAGGGCATATCCCATATGGCGTGAAATTAGTGGGTACAGAGGAATAACACCTGAGTCCTCAGGAATGGCAACGCATAGGGGGTATCATGGGCGAAACAGTATACTCTGTTATGTCCATGGTACTGCTCATGTCTATAGGTGACGGTTACCACTTTTCATCAGGTGGGCCGTCTGCTTGTTTCCCATTCTAAGTAGTATAAAAAAAAATACAGCCCGTCTGGTTATAAATGGTTACTGTAGCCTATGGATGCCTGTGACACTAGGGGTGTCACGTGCGTGTTGCAACCATTAAGATCATATAAATTAGGTTGATAATGTTTGAATTTAGAACACGAAATCGTGTGCTTTCACCTAAATTAAGTTTTGCTTCACTTTCATCATCAAATCACTTTTTTCTCTGCGAATATAAACGGTAACATTAATCGCCCTAGTATTAATTTGAGACCAATACGAGATGAGCCTTTATCGTTAGTAAAAATAATTGTCGTATTTAGAATTGGCGATGTAATCACATATAGGCATAAAAACAAAAAAACAAAACAGACGATTTGAAAGACTACGAGAATTTTTTTTCATTTAATAAATTAAGATTTTGGAAATAAGAGGATAGGATTCAGTAGCTAATACACAAATGAGTTCAATTCCAGAGTCTGAGATGTTATTTGGTCGACAGGTTTACCTCACAACTTAACTGTTACAATCTTAAACTAGTTTACATATGTTAGCTTTTAACGCTAAAAATTTGAACTCGGCTTCTAAAGGGGGTTATGTCATATTAATTGAATGACTCAACTGAAATGTTGTCTTTATTTATCCTAAAGCAAAAATTTCTAAGAAGTTGCATGTATATACTATTATAATTCGTTCAATTAAGACTGATTTATCATGCATCAATGTTTATGATGGGATAATACCTATTTGACCAATGATAAAATTTCGTTGTGATTTGTTTCGACATTTTCACTGTGCGCTGTAATAGACAGACTGACATTAATTTTATAAATTGTTAATTTTGTGTTCTTAAGTTTACAAATATTTTATACTTCGTATGCAATTTTTGCGAAAAATATTTATTGTACTAACCTATTTATTATACAAAAATATTTATTTGTTGAAACATTATTATATTATTTTATTTATTACATATAGCGTGTAAATAGGTAAATAAAACTATTAACTAACTAATTATTATTATTTCGGAAACATACTATTTTTGACTGATACATATTTTATTATATACATTTATATTTTATATAAATACGACAGAATTTGTGGTTTGTCTGATAATATTGTTAATTTCATATTATTAGTACTTATACGTAATATGAGTATATTAAAACTAACGTATGTGGTTTATAATATATATAATATATATATATATATATATTACATTTAACAATTATGATAATTATTAACTGAAATATAATACAAATTAACTAATTGTTATAAATCAGTTATATCCTGCTGCATTACCTGTATTTCTATTTATCAATCTAGAATGATTACATGACCGTATCGGATTTCATGCAAATCTATCGAGCAGTTTAAGTGTGATTGAGTAATAAATATACAAATTTTCATACATGTTAGGATTGTATAATTGTAAAATATATAAGAATAAAGTTTCTTCTTGGTCGGCAACAGGCACGTGACACCCCTAGTGTTACAGGCGTCCATTGTCTACAGTCGCCGTTTTTCATCAGACAGGCTGTATGCTTGTTTGTGTACCTGTGTGGTATAAAAAAATTAATATTAAAGTATTATGTATAAATGGTTTTAGTTAGCGATAAGGCCATATAATAGATTAAAATACAGGGAACTTTTATACCTTTCGCTGGTAAAGTTATGGGATACAAATGCATTGAATTAGGATAGTATGAAATTTTGTAAATTATGAATAATTTTTATTCTGCTTATATTTTTGGATAATTATTTTGCAACATTCGCTTTCATTTTATTAAAGTTTTTACTAGAAATAACTTATCACTGAGCTGTATGGGCCATGCTTTTTGACTGTCTAATTTTGAACAAATATTGAAACGACACCAACATGATTACTAAAAAAACTATAACGAGCTTTGTATATCTTTCTTTATATGTTTGATAATGATGAAATAATAATTGTGGGTAAAAAATTTGGAATCATTTGGTGCATTCGATATGTATTTAAAATTTACGTATTAAAAGATACATACGTTCATGTATGTTCATAATATTGATATTAGTATTGAAATTATGAAATGTATGAATGTTACACATTCAGAATTATTTGAGTAAATAACACTTAATTTATATACATATATAAGTATATGGCCCAGAATTTGGTTGTACAATTATTTCTCGTATTTTATATCTCATAAATGAGTAAATAAAGGTACTATGCTAACAATAAACAATTAAATGTATTGTTTCCCTGATATCTCTACGTTTCGTATAAAAACATGTGAGTAAACTACATAATTAAACATACGACACCTGAAGTTTTTGTCTATGATACAATATCTAAAAGTATGAAATTAATTTCAAAGATGACTTTATTTGTAATGAGTCGGTAACCGATATAAAATTACATCGGAGCACTTTACGAACTACGTCGGCCAGTTTATTGACGCCGTATCCGTCTGAACTTGAGTTTAAGCCTCTGTGAATGTCATCTAGCCTCAGTGCAACTGCAGTTCCGTGCACGTATGCACGATCTATGCACCGCGCGTTAACTAAAACTAACCTAAAAGCCACAGCTAATCAGATTTGAAAAAAGAAAACATGACAGTTCCAATTCAAATTCCAAATGTTCCAATTTAGATAAGTAAGAAAAGCTAACTACGTCACAGTGTGAGAGAAAGAGACGACTATGCATCCCCGCGTCTGCTATTTCGGTGACGTCGGCCGGTGCATAGCGAAATAATTTAATGAAAAGTGGCATTCAGTAAATTCGTTGTGTTTACGCGCGTTGCAAGTTTGTTTGGTTAGCGGTGTATTTTTGTGTGCGATCCCGGATCCCGGTACTTTTTCCAGTGTGGGTGGCGCCATCTACTATGTGTCCTATATTCCCGCGGTTGCGTGTTACACATGGTTGTAATTCATGGTGTTTTCAAAACAATAGTAGCGATCTACGTAAACTATTTTATTAGTGACATAAACTTTTATCTTGAGTTTATAAGTGGTGATGTCCGACTACTTGGCTTGTTTTTGGCGCGGTAAAACTGTGCGGGTCCGTAGCGGAAAATTGAGCTAGCGGTGTTTTTTCCAAACTTAACCTACGACAATCTTCAGTTGCGCGCGAGCTCTGTTCGCACACGCTTCGCGTTTATACGCGGAAATTAACGAAAACCCGCCGAATGGACACCGAAAAGGAAACGACAACCACCGAAATCACATTTTGAACTTCGTGTGGATGTGTTCGAAACGTTCCATATTCGAACGCGACGGAATAGTCGCGCCGCGTTCGATGACCTCATAAAGTGAAAACTATTTTTTGATCTTTCACTTTGCTCAATTTTGTGATGTAGACATAGTGCCTTCCCCGTACAAACTAATGGAATATTGTGATGTTAAAGTGCAAAGTTAGAGACTAGGTTATTGTAAAGTGATCGTGAACTATTTTTTTTTTATGTTGAAGGACACACTTATATAGAACTGAGTGCTTATGGACAAATACTGCAACATTCATAGGTAAGTTTAATGTATTGTCGAGTCATAATAAATAATTATAGTCAGTCTACGAAATGCCAATCTTAATCTATGAACTTGATTGAGTCGAGCGAAGTCAGCCGCTAGTCGAGTGCATTGCTGCGTCGGAATTGCAAATTCACTTATGTGTCGTTCGCTAACTTCGCTAGAAAGGGTGGGTTTGCTCACCGGAGATTCGTCCTTATTGTCGAGAGTGTCTAGTTGTTTTCGTATTGACATTTGTTTGATTGTCGAGTTTTTTGGGTTGACGAACTTGCTGGGGTATTTTTGTATCTTAAAACTCACATGAGCGGTTTTGCGTCGTTTTCCCTTGGGCCGAGACCATTGGCCTTCGGGCTATCACTAGTTGTATCTATACCTACTTTGCCTAGTTTATGTTATTACATCGATAATTGATAATGCAATTTGTACCTACTCTATTCGTATTATTAAATTTAATAAAATTATTTTAAATTTTCTTTGTTAACTTTTAATTTGAATTAGTAATTATCATTTAGATTAATTTTGTCTGCGATATTTATGGTAGCTATTTTACTACCAACATTACCAACCATTTATTGGTAAACATTGTTAACACTAAGTTAATTTATTCATGTGAAAGTGGAAGCTCTTTACTGATGCGATACGTGCGTCTTCTAGTGATCATTATCATCATATCATCCGTTTATTATCCACCGATGAACATAAGTCTTCCGCAAAAGGGGGGTTTTGCTAGTAGTTAACACGGTTAGTAGGCGGATTGGTAACTGTAGTTAGGTTTTGGTGATGTTCTAAGAAGGACGCTGTTGCCCATTCCTCGACCATTAAGTTTCCTTAGTCGGTTCTTACGATACGTACGGGAAAGTAAGATTTTCCTCTTCCATACTAGCTCCAGTAATATTGAATTGAAATATGCGAAACTATTCGACGAAATGTAACTAATAAATATATATAAAAAAAAAATTCGCTAATATATCTTAAGTTAATACTGACTACACACACGCTACGATTAGTCGTCACTATCGAACTTTACAATTTGAACTCCAACGTCAAACCGTAATGCGGGCTACACATGCTACGAAAAGTTTTACGAACGTTACGATTTTGTCGAACAGTTTGATGTAACGTCAAATTGTATTGTGTGTAACGGAGAGATGTAAAATGTATATAAATTTTAATACGTTACGACTTATCATTGTAGTTCGACTAGACTGTGCGACAGTAGCGATGTATCGTAGCATGTGTAGTCAGCGTACCGCATTAATTTATACCTACCCTTTATTTTTCTTTGTTTTCTCAATGTTTTCTACCCAAAGGTTGTCTGGAAGAGATTGCTTAGCGATAAGACCGCCTTTTGTATCATTTCTTATTACAGTTAAATGTGTTTACTATTCTATAAATGGTGCAATAAAGTGTACATAAATAATTTAAGTACCTACTAGCTGCGCCCGCTACTTCGTCCACGAGATGTAGATACAGGTATCTATTGATCATATATCTATTTATTTATCGATTGAGATACAGAGGAACCGATTTTTCTTACTATTTGCAAACTTGCAAAATTCACAAGGATTGATTGACCCACTAAGGCACTAAGAGGTATAAAATAGGCAAACTAAAATTAAAATCAGTTTCATTTGCAAAATTAGTAATACAAGTAAGTGGTCGTTTGGTCCCGGCATAGAATGGGCCACCCCTTCCTTTCCCGTGGGTTTCGTAAGAGGCAACTAAGGGAACTTAATGATCGAGGGATGAGCAGCAGCGTCCCTTTAACACATCACCAAAACCTAACTGCGGTTGTCAACCTGTCTGTCAAGCATGGCGATTTATCTTAGCGTGTATGGTTGCTTTATTATTATCACCAATATAGTAACAGATGGCTTTGCTTAGAGACGTCAGAGTATTATTTCTTATTATGTCTTATTCATATAAGAACTTATCAAAATATTTAGTTACCTCTAGTACTTATTTAATTAAAACAAATTTAATATTGCAGTGGCATCCAATTAACAAATGTATATTAATAGGATTACAAGTAAGTGGTCTAATCTTTACATTCTACAGATGATTGTAACTACTGAGGGATCACTGATTAATATCACTTTTATATATGACCCTTTAGAACGTCACAACATGAAATAGCAGAAACAGGATTTAAACAGAACTTTGTACTAAATCTCCCCTGGGTCGGAACCTGTGCACTGTTACTCTTGCCTTTTATTATCTTTAATTAACATTATTAATTATCATCATTATATCGGCCATTATCTGTCCACTGCTGAATGTAGGTATACCCCATAAACTGCCATAAGGAACGGCCCCAAGTCACTACATCCACTGACTCCTTGTAATGCATCTGAGGTCGTCAGTTCATCTAATAGGGGTCGTTTTACTCTGCGTTTGCATACCAGGTCGGTACTCAAGAACCTTTCTTTCACATCGATTATCGGTTCTTTCATCCCCTCCTCTTTACTCATAAAGTAATGGATCACTTATATAATTAATGTTGTATTAAATTAACAGTACTAATAAACTCATAATTTTCGATCACAAGTAATAATCTTGAAATAAATTTAAATACATTTTCAAATATCTATCTTCTTAAGACCAGAGAGACGTAGTGGCTGATCGTAATTATTTTTACTGTGCGTCGATAGATCGCGCATGACATCTGTTATTGTATGATTAGTGAACGTTTTATTGCTTTACAGGAGCACTAACCTCTTGAATAATCTAATATTCTATTCACGTGACGTAATCATACAATCGTATTCATAAACCGATTTGGATGATAATTGGCTATTGGATGTTAGTTTGGTAAGCAAGAAATTGATCGTGTACTATGTAAAGCTCCACATACACGGGGCAATTTAGTTCTTCAATCAATTTTTTAACGAATGATAATGGAATGGTAACTCCGCTTGCCCTAACGGATAACGCTAGCGGAGTACCAGTGAGGTATGATAAGTGAGAATGTAAGGGCAGACCAGTTAGCCCATCGTGATGAATACACCTGGAATTCACCATGATGGTTTCCAGTGGGACCATGACCTGATAGGGTATATTGTTAGCAATAGGACTTGTAGTCCGCATTACTAACAATGCCTCCCCCCCCTCTTCGATCAGTTGAAATGATAAACAATAATCGTGCACCATTGAAGGATTTTAATGAAAGAAAGTATAGCGGAGAAGGCCGAGCATGGGATTGTCATGAGATCGATGTAAACAATCTGTTATTTAATGAAAATAATTTCAAAAATTTGTTAAAAACTTCTAATCGTTGTCTTTGAAATTAATATCCACTACATATCCCGGATACGCGGGGGAAATCTTGAAACAGCTCGGGTGAAAGTGAGTTTGTATGTTTGTTACTTCTTAATGCGTTAAGGGCTTAATCAATTATGAAATTATAGCTTTTTATTCGACTAGTAATGATATAATACACACGTTATGGTATATGTAACACGTATTGATATTTTATTTTTTTATTTAATTATATTATATAAATATAAATAATATATAATGTAATGAATACTTTATTGTACACACCAATTATTTATAAAAATATGACAGAGGTAATCAAATGTATAAAGGCGAGCTTAACTCTAAAAGAATTCTCTTCCAGCAAACCCAAAGTGGAAAGGAATCTATGTCAGTGGATATAGTGGTGTACAATATTGTGAAAATTTTCAAAAAAAGAAATTAGATAAACTATTTATTATAATTCTTAAATGTGGGTAAAGTGATGTAGGTAAAGATAGGTAGAATCTGTTAGATTGTCTCTCGTCCTACATAAATAATCGAAATGTCAAATCTACTTTACATTATAGTCCGATCGACTCCAGTCACAGTATAAGATTAGTTTACACACAGTGTAAGACTGCAATTTTGGTAAAACCTGTTATTTTGATTTAAAAACAAAACTATTGAACACGGTTTTGATAACGTTTCTATGGGTCTTATCTATAAGTATAAATTCTTGAGATGTAAAAAGAATTTTCCAAATCGACTGACCGAGTTATGAGGTAACAAATATAAAAAATGCATACGAATTGAGAACCTCGTTATTTTTGAGGTCAATTAAAAATATCTAAAATTACATGCCATACATGTACACTCAGAAAAAGCTCATCATTTGTGCAAGTCTTAAAGCGATTGCGCGAGAATAAAGTAATATACAACGGTATACATATGTATATGTATATTATTATTATACGAACACGTCCTTAATATTTAGAATAAAATTAATACATTTATCAAATTTAAACATCCGTCCTTTGTTTATGAATAAGTATACATACATTAAGGAAAACAGTCAAAATATTAGATAATGACCGAAAACCACAAAAAAATCACAAATTCGGCTGACAAATAAGGTAAATATAGTTGAAAAACAATTAATTATATACGGATTTTCTAGTAGGTACGTAATTTACTCGTAATCCTATTAAAAACAATTAGTGTTACAAACATTCCAGCTTGCCAAATTTTGGTCGTGTAATTCAATATTTATTTATTTATTTAACTCACTATCACACCAAAAACGTAAAAAGACACAATGGCTATTAGAAAATTTAAGTGAAATATAGTAGTATAAAGTACAGATTAAAATATATAATTCGATTTGTACCTTTATATCTTTATACATAAAGGTAACAATAGGCGGTCTTAACGTTAGGGCAATCTCTTACAGACTACCTTTGATGTTATGTTTTTTTAACTTTAATCGCTTTACTATTTGTGAATAAGAAACATTTATCGGAAGCAGGTATCAATTATTAGATCGAGTTTCATCGTCAATAAATCCTTTCCATAGAACAAGGTTCCTAAAAACGATATATTATATATAGGAGTCTTAATAAGAATAATGGAAGCTAACACTATAATTTTTAGAAATTTTGTCTGTCTGTCTGTATGTCAGTTCCAGCACCACGCAAAAACTATTGCACGAAATAAATGCGGTTTTCATAGGTGTGGTCCTAATGATTTTGATACGTCATCTA